GTACTATCCGCCGCGCGCCCCGTGGTGCGCGGCATTGCATTTTCTTCCCGCCACGCGCTCCGAACACGTGGCGGCTTCTTCTGCCCGCCGCGCGCTCGGGGCGCGCGGCGGTTATCCCGTCCGTCGAAGCGTCCTTGGGGGGGCCTGCGCGCTGCCCTCCCTGCTGCTCGTCGCGACGCCCGTGCGGGACCCGCGGGGCGTCGCCCTTACTCGTCGCGGCGCCCCCTGGGTGCTGCCCCTTCTCGTCGCGACGCCCGTACGGGACCCGCGCAGCGTCGCCCTGCTCGTCGCGACGTCCGTGCGGGACCCGCGGGGCGTCGCCCCTGCTCGTCGCGACGCCCGTGCGGGACCCGCGGGGCGTCGCCCCTGCTCGTCGCGACGCCCCCTGCGGGACCCACGGGGCGCCGTCAGAGCCTGCAGCAGCAGCCGCCGCCAGAGCCTGCAGCAGCAGCCGCCGCTCTACCAGCAGCAGCAGCCGCCGCCGCTCTGCAGCAGCAGCCGCCGCCGCCCTGCAGCAGCAGCCGCCGCCAGGCCTGCAGCAGCAGCCGCCGCCAGAGCCTGCAGCAGCAGCCGCCGCCAGAGCCTGCAGCAGCAGCTGCCACCAGAGTCTGCAGCAGCAGCCGCCGCTCTACCAGCAGCAGCAGCCGCCGCCGCCCTGCAGCAGCAGCCGCCGCCAGGCCTGCAGCAGCAGCTGCCGCCACCGAGCCTGCAGCAGCAGCCGCCGCCAGAGCCTGCAGCAGCAGCCGCCGCCAGAGCCTACAGCAGCAGCCGCCGCTCTACCTGCAGCAGTTGCCGCTGCCGAGCCTGCAGCAGCAGCCCCTGGAGCAGCCAGTCACTGCAGCAACCGCCCCTGGAGCAGCCCGCCACTGCAGCAGCCGCCCCTGGAGCAGCCCGCCACTGCAGCAGCCGCCCCTGGAGCCGCCCGCCACTGCAGCAGCAGCCCCTGGAGCAGCCGCCACTGCAGCAGCCGCCCCTGGAGCAGCCCGCCACTGCAGCAGCCGCCCCTGGAGCCGCCCGCCACTGCAGCAGCCGCCCCTGGAGCAGCCCGCCACTGCAGCAGCCGCCCCTGGAGTTTGCCCGCCTTTGTTCGTACGTCCCCTTGCTACTCGTGTCCGTTCGTGTCTCGTGTTGTGTCCCGTGCCGAGCCATACCGTGCAGTGCCATGCCGTGCCGTACCGTGTCGTGCCGTGCTGTGCTGTGCCGTGCCTGTGTTCGTTTTACCTACCTACCTACCTACCTACGCCCTGTGCCTTGTGCCTTGTGCCTTGTGCTTCGTGCCTCGTGCCTCGTGCCTTGTGCCTCGTGCGCCCTGCTGCTGCCCCGCGCCTTCGTGCGCCCTGCTGCAGCCCGCGCCTTGTGCGCTTTACCTACCTACGCCCTGTGCCTTGTGCCTTGTGCCTTGTGCCTTGTGCGCTTTACCTACCTACGCCCTGTGCCTTGTGCCTTGTGCCTTGTGCTTCGTGCCTCGTGCCTCGTGCCTTGTGCCTCGTGCGCCCTGCTGCTGCCCGCGCCCTCGTGCGCCCTGCTGCAGCCCGCGCCTTAGTGCGCTACCTACCTACGCCCTGTGCCTTGTGCCTTGTGCCTTGTGCTTCGTGCCTCGTGCCTCGTGCCTCGTGCCTTGTGCGCTTTACCTACCTACGCCCTGTGCCTTGTGCCTTGTGCCTTGTGCTTCGTGCCTCGTGCCTCGTGCCTCGTGCCTTGTGCGCTTTACCTACCTACGCCCTGTGCCTTGTGCCTTGTGCCTTGTGCTTCGTGCCTCGTGCCTCGTGCCTCGTGCCTTGTGCGCTTTACCTACCTACGCCCTGTGCCTTGTGCCTTGTGCCTTGTGCTTCGTGCCTCGTGCCTCGTGCCTTGTGCCTCGTGCGCCCTGCTGCTGCCCGCGCCCTCGTGCGCCCTGCTGCAGCCCGCGCCCTCGTGCGCTCTACCTACCTACGCCCTGTGCCTTGTGCCTTGTGCCTTGTGCTTCGTGCCTCGTGCCTCGTGCCTCGTGCCTTGTGCGCTTTACCTACCTATGCCCTGTGCCTTGTGCCTTGTGCCTTGTGCTTCGTGCCTCGTGCCTCGTGCCTCGTGCCTTGTGCGCTTTACCTACCTACGCCCTGTGCCTTGTGCCTTGTGCCTTGTGCTTCGTGCCTCGTGCCTCGTGCCTCGTGCCTTGTGCGCTTTACCTACCTACGCCCTGTGCCTTGTGCCTTGTGCCTTGTGCTTCGTGCCTCGTGCCTCGTGCCTTGTGCCTCGTGCGCCCTGCTGCTGCCCGCGCCCTCGTGCGCCCTGCTGCAGCCCGCGCCCTCGTGCGCTCTACCTACGCCCTGTGCCTTGTGCCTTGTGCTTCGTGCCTTGTGCCTTGTGCCTCGTGCCTTGTGCGCTTTACCTACCTACGCCTCGTGCCTTGTGCCTCGTGCGCCCTGCTGCAGCCCGCGCCCTCGTGCGCTCTACTCTGCCCGAGCTCTCGTGCGCCCTGTTCGGTTCCGCCGCCCCTGCCCCCCCCCCCCCCCTCCCCCCGTCCCCTGGACAGGAGAGTGTGGGGGTGACGGGTATGGGGGTGCTCCGTGTGCGTCGTCCCTTCCTCCTCCTTCGTCTCCCACAGCTGCAGCTGCCGCTGAGGGGGGTGGATGTGTGGGAGCCGAGGGGAATGGCGCTAGGGGGGTAATGTGGGAGTGGAGCTAAGGGTGGACCAGGGGGTGTGTGTCGAAGGGTGTGGGACTGTTGGGGGCGGTTGAGCGGAGGCCGCCGTCGTGTCGTCTGCAGCGCCTGTATTCCGGGGGTTCTGATAGCCACCGGTAGCTCAGAGAGCCGGTTGCACCTGTCGCCTGTGGGTCCGTTGCTCCTGCCGCTGCTGATCAGCCGCCGAGCCTGTTACTCCTGTATTCCGGGGCCTCTGGCTCCCGGTAGCCACTAGAGTTGCACTAGTGCCGTCTGTTGCCCGTGTGTCTGCAGCTTCAGCCGTCGCCTCCACTCTTCTCTCCTCTCGCCAGCCCTCCTCCTCCTCACCTACCCTCTGTGACTGCCTCTAGCTTTGCTCATAAATTATAAACTATTGCTTCTTGAACTTGTGCTCAGAATGTGTGGTGACATCGTGATCCACCCTGAGCTTGTACTGCTTTGCTTGCTCTGCTGATTACACCCCACTTTGGCTATGGGGGTGTGTCAGAATGTTATTTGTCTAGCCTGCAGTGGGGTGGTCAATAGTGAGTACAACCCCTTAGGGTTTGCTATTTGTGTGTCCTGCTGCTTGCTAGTCATCATCATTCTTCATTCCAATTCTCCTTCGTAAACCCTAACTCCTAGTTCTAGAGCGCACCCACCTACCTCCTAGTGTGGGCCTAGGCTACTAAGCCTAGGCCCCACATCTACTATTCTAACAGCGCGGGCTCGGTGCGGGCAGCGCATGGCAGCAGCGGGCTGCGCGCGGCTCGGTGCGGGCTGCGCGGGCTCGGTGCGGGCAGCGTGCGGCAGCAGCGGGCTGCGCGCGGCTCGGTGCGGGCTGCGCGGGCCTGAAGGGCGTGTAGGAGCGGCGCGCGGGCCTTACGGGCCTCTAGGGGCAGCGCGCTGGCCTAGGGCAGCAGGAGGCAGCGCTAGGGCTGCTGGACGGCTCGCGTAGTGCAGCACGTCACAAGGCAAGGCAAGGCAGGCAGGTACGTGGGGTAGCGCGGTAACCGCAGCGGTAGGTGGGCCCGAAAAAAACGGTCCTACGGACCTTAGTGCTCTGAAACCATGTTAGAATATAGCAGCAGGAATGATGAACTAACAGCATGCAGGATTACAAGTAGTAAACCCTAATTGGGTTGTACCCCATATGGGTACCCCACTACAGCCTAGACAATATGCAGCATATATGTTTGACATTTTCTTATCAACTAATTAATTCCATTCAAACGCGGTAAATGCACTGCGGTGTCATGATCAATCATGGGAGCTTCTCAACACGGGAGTCCATCAATCCCGCATGTCAAACGCAAGGAGTTTATGCAAGGTACGATAGTCGTCCGTCCGCGCTTATTTTTAACTCGGCGCTAATGCGCTTAAGAGTATTCCGCACACTCATATTTGCAGCTGACCCATGCCTTCGTCTGAATGTCGCCATTGTTTGCAGACTATCCTCTCACGCAGTGGCGAATGGTGGCAATTTTTAGTGCATCTTATTTCGGCGCCCTTCTGCACCCTTTCTAACTGTACACTCTCCGCATGTGTGTGTGCACTTTTCGCGAGGTAAGAATCGTGCTTTAAGGCTTGTCGTATGTACATGCCATATGTTGCTGCTGTGTCGTTTGTTCCTCTTTTCGCCCTCTGGTATGTTGCAGGCGCACAATAGTACACATGGCTCTTCAGCTGTGCACGTTATCTGCATGTTAGAAAGTGTGGAATTGGTATAATTGTGTCATTGCAATGCAATCAATACTATCGAATGTGTATATGGTGTAATAATGGAAAAGGTAATATCTGCAAATTGCAAAGTTCTTCAATCAGCAAATAATAAATTAATAGAATCCGGAATTGAATAACGTGGTAAAATATAATGATATTTGTTGTTATACATGGTGTAATAATGGAAAAGGTAATATCTGCAAATTGCAAAGTTCTTCAATCAGCAAATAATAAATTAATAGAATCCGGAATTGAATAACGTGGTAAAATATAATGATATTTGTTTTTTACAGTGTCTGTATTGGGTTTACGGGTCTCAAAAATGTTTATATTTAGTTGGAGAGAGTACTGTAGTATCAGTTAGTGAACTGTAGGTATATGTCTGTGGTGTTGGCGATGTTTTTCACAGCGCGGATGCGGCTCGCGTGTGATTCATTCCACCAGCCTTGGAGCGTTTTCGATGGGGTCACTTGAGGGTTACGTGTGGGTCACCACCTGTGGGTGACCTCGGGGTCACCACGCGAAGTGACTTTTGCGGAGGTGACCCGCAGGTCACCTAGACGAGGACCCCGGGGTATCCCGCCACGGGGTAAGCTGTGGGTAACCTGGGGGGGGGTTTTGGGCCAAACTTTTTTGGGATGCTTGATAATGACAACAACAGATCCCATGCGGGTCTGGTGTTCAAGATGCCAATAACAGCCCCTCCCCCAGCCGCCGACGCAGCTCGGAATCTCCTCATCGCGTCCGTCTGCCGTCATTGGCGTCGTTTAGCGAAACTTCATGTGACCACGCTCCTTGTTAGGAAAGACCTTCTCGTGTCCCGCCAAGATCTCTCAGCCGCCGTCGCGTGCTTCCCCAACCTCACCCATCTGCATCTCAGCGACAACAGCGTAGAGTCGGTCGACGACGCCTTCCTCGCTCACCTCGCGTCGTCATGCCCCAAGCTCACGACTCTCCACGTGAGGAGGACCTTTGCCATACACGAGGAGGAGGATGAGGATGATTGCATTCATGATTTTCTAAGGAAGGAGGAGCATCTGGTATCTTCAGACGGCTTGGATCGCTTCTTCTTGAGAATTCCTCGGTTGGAGCAGCTTTCCCTCTTCTGCCCGCGCCAAGGAACAAAGCTACCTGGTTCCTTTTTTCATATGGGGCACCTCCGCACCCTTGTTCTCGACGGCGAAGCGGCCTTGGAGAATCCCGGCTTCACAAGCCTCACTGCTCTCACCACCCTCTTTGTCACCTTCCCTTGGAACCTTCTACACCTGTCCACCCTCCTGCGCCTCCCACGACTTGCACATCTATCCACCTCCGCCCCATACCAGAGCCATCAGCCCTCGGCGGACGCTGCAAGCATAGTTCTGCCGTCTTGCCTCAAGTCACTCACATTTGCCGTTTCTTGTCCTGGTTTCGACACCATCTTCCCATCAGGATCACCGTTCACAGGGCTAGAGGAGCTGCTCATCACCGACTGCAGTGAGCTAGAGAGCTTTCCTGACCACATAGGACACCTGCTGCCGTACCTTCGCACGCTGACCGTTCGCAAGTGCCGTTCTCTCATCTGCTTGCCCAAAAGTTTCGCTTCTCTCAGCCGATTCGAAGCTCTCATATTTTACAAATGCGATCTTTTTACCTTACCCAGCAACTTCGGTGATCTGCCTGCACTCAAACTGCTGGTGCTGGCACTGTTGCCTCTCTTTGAACTCCCTCCTTCCTTCTGCCATCTCACGTCTCTCGAGGCACTCTTTCTAGTCGGATGCAACGACCTTCGCCGGCTGCCAGCAGGGTTCTACGGCCTCACAGCTCTTAAGGCTTTTTGCATCACCGCACAGGCTCTTGCCTTGCCAGAAGACATAGGGGCCCTCACAAGTCTCAAGGCTCTTAGGTTGGCCGCTTACGGGCAGCCCCTTCCTGCTTCGTTCACGAACCTGCGTTCCCTGACGAGCCTAGAGCTGAATAACTGCGGGCTCAAAGTCCACCTGCCGCAAGCCCTGGGGAGCTGAGCAGCCTACGGGAGTTGAAGGTCCAAGCCAGTTCAATCCGCACGCTTCCCATGTCACTCTCACGGCTTACTGGACTTCAAACCTTGGAGATGAGTGCTTGCAACGAGCTCTCAGAAGTGCCGTCGAGGCTGGATATGCTCGTGGGGCTTAAGACGCTGGAGTTAACGCCGTGTGAGAAGCTCAGCAAGCATCTGGTCTCTCTGCCACCGTCTCTTCAGACCCTCCGTTTGGGCCGCCTGGAAGGCTCATCCCATGTCATCGACATCTTTGAGCTGTCACAGCTGAGGGAGTTGCAGCTGAGCAGTGCGGAGCAGGTGGAGCGGCTAGAAATGGGTTTGACACATGAAGGTCGGGAGCTCCCTATCCATCTCACTATTCTCTCCCACCTGCGCCACTTGGTGATTTGCGGGGATGAAGGTTGCTACCTGACGGAGAACTTGGGCGCTGCGTTGCCCCAGCTACGGCAGCTGGAGCTTCTTTCTTGGTCATCGGAGGAGCTGCCAGGCAGCATAGTGAAGCTGAGCTCGATGACGTCATTCACGATTGAAGCACCTCGCGTGGTGTCGCTACCTCAAGGCATGCGGTCCTTGTCTCGGCTGCGCAAACTGGAGCTCATTTGCTGCAGCGCCTTGCAGCACCTCCCGGAGTGTCTCTCCCAGCTGCACCAGCTCATACTGCGTGACACCTCCATCCGCTCTCCTCCTGCGAATCTCATGCAGCTGGTGTAAAGAGGCAGCCTCGGCTGGTTGCCTTCAGCCGAAGAAACAGGCAAGAAGGGTTTTCAGTAACAAGCGTGGGGATACATATAGCAAACCCTAGAAGGGCTGTACTCGCTATAGAGTACCCCACTGCAGGCTAGACAACCATCACATTCTGACACACCCCCATAGTCAAAGTGGGTTACAATCAACACAACAAGCAGGCAGAGCCGTAGGCTCACAAATACAAGCAAAGCTAGAGGCTATCACAGAGGGCAAGTGAGGAGGAGGAGAAACTGTGGGAGGAAGAAGATGGGAGGCAACGGCTGAAGCTGCAGACACACACGCAACAGAAGCGCGCAGCACTGTCGCTACCAGGCGCAGAGAGCCCCGGACTACACGGCGACAGACACTCGGGCAACAGGAACAGCGCGCACAGTGGCTACCGGAGCACTCAACCTCCGGACTACAGGAGTAACTGGCTCCGCAATAAGCTGCAGGAGCAACGGACCCACGAGCGACTGGCGCAGTAGGCTCGCTGGGCTACCGGAGTACTCAACCCCTGGGCTACTGGCGCTGCAGACGTCACACTGGCTACCTCCTGTCAACCTCCCCCAACTGTCCCACACCCCTATCACACACCCCCTGTTGAACCACTAGCAACGCTCACACGCCACCCCCCTCCTGACGGCTCCAACACATCCACCCCCCTGAGCGGCAGCTGCAGCAGTGGGAGACGGAGGAGGAGGAGGAGCAGGGGATGGCGCACTTACCCGTCACCCCCATACCCGCCACCCCCACATCCGCCACCCCCAAGCCCTAACACAGGCAGCAGCGGGGGGGGAGGGGCGGTGCGCGGGCAGTAGCCAGGGGGAGGGCGCGCGGCTCCCCAGAGCGGGGCAGCCGCGCGCGGCTCCCCAGGGCGCCACGACAAAGCAGCGGGGTCGCGCGCGGCTCCTCAGGGCGTCGCGACGGGGTAGAAGGGTCGCGCGCGGCTCCCCAGGGCGTCGCGACGAGACAGCGGGGGGCAGCGCGCGGCTCCGCGAGGCGACGCGACGGCGGGGGGGGGGGGGGGGGGGGGGGGGGGGGGGGGGGGGGGCTTCGACAGGGGAAAACCGCCGCGCGCCTCGGGGCGCACGGCGGGAAGAAAAATCCGTCGCGCACCACGGGGCGCGCGACACACAGAGTAGCAGCGGAAGCTAACGGGTGGGACCACCCACAGGATCGACCCAGGAGGGTCGACCTGCTCTGATAGCATGTCGAAATACTAGGCAGAAAGAAGAAACAGGCAAGAAGGGTTTTCACTAACAAGCATAGGGATACATATAGCAAACCCTAGAAGGGCTGTACTCGCTATAGAGTACCCCACTGCAGGCTAGACAACCATCACATTCTGACACCCCCCACTCCTTTCATAACCCCATCTCCTTGCATACCCCCCGCTCATCTCATCCCCCCCCACTCCTTTCATACCCCTGTCTCCTCGCATAGCCCGTACTCCTCTCATACACTTCACTCCCCACTCCTCTCATGTCCCCCCACCTCTCATGTCCCCCCACCTCTCATGTCCCCCCACCTCTCATATTCCCCACTCCTCTCATACCCCCCACTCCTCCCACACCCCTCCCCCCCTCCCCGCCCTCCACTCCTCTCATACCCGCCACTCATATCCCCCCACCTTTCATCCCCCCCACTCCACTCATAACCCCCCCCCCCCCCCCTTCCCAAACACCGTCTCATTCCCCCCTCTCCTCTAAAACCCCCTGTTCCTCTCATATCCCGTATGACTCTCAAAACCCATATTCCTTACGCTCCTCCCACTCTAATTCCAAGTAGTTGCGGGTCCTTCTCCCCCTTGTGCTTTTATTGTCCGCCCTTGCGCTCACGCTTTTCGTGCTTTATCAGCAGCAGAGCCTCCACCACCCACAGCTCCGTCTGCTCTTTCTCTTTCTCTAAGCTTTTGCATTCTTCGCCACTAATCCTATGTTCCCCCCCCCCCCCAAGGTCTCTCTGCCAAGCGTTTGCAGGCCAGACAGTGCACAGCTGTGGCTGCAGCATGCTTCCTTGTGCAGTGCATGGCGATGCCATTGTGAGGTTATGTGTGCCTTGATTCATCGGCCATAATGCATAAAAAGCTGGCCTATACAACCTATCTAATGAAGAAGCTTTTCTCTGCCATAATTCTGCCACGCAAGCCACGAGTGTGTAAATCTGCCTATGTACTGGTACATTGTATCAGAGGTCATATAGTGGAACTGAAGAGCAGCGAGCGTCAGAAAATTGGAGCCGTATTTGCATCATGGCTGCAAGATGCTTGCGTGCGCGTAGGATGTAGAGTCCTCCTACACTTTTGAGAAAGAAGGTCGGGGACCATGCCCCTAGTCTTGGGATGCAGCAGCGGCAGCGGCAGCGTCAGCGGCAGACTGCCAGTGAAGGGAGGCCTGCCACCTGCCTTGACACCTGCGCAGTGAGCACACCAGCATTGTGCAGCAGCCACCGCAGCAGCAAAACGCCACTCACCAGCATCCACACGGGAATGAGTGTTGTCATCTGCCAACTCACTCCCTTGGTGGCAGGACCTGAGGGGGTGGGCAAGGCAAGGGGATGGGAATGGAGAAAAGGGTGGGGAAGGGGATGGGAAAGGGGATGGCGAAGGGGATGGGAATGGAGAAAGGGGTGGGGATGGGAAAGTATAAGGTGAAGGGGGTCGGGGAAATATGATGGGAGTGATGGGGGCACAATGATGAAGAGTGATGACTGCACTATGCACAGCTGCAGGGTGATTAGCCAACAAGGGCCAATAGGAGAGGCTGGTGAGGTGGGTAACAGAGAGAGGTGGTGCGTGATGGAGGTGGGGCAGCTGACCTGAGGCCGTCCTGAGACTGACCTGCTATGCCACTGACCTGCTATGCCACTGACCTGCTATGCCACTCCACTGACCTGCTATGCCACTCCACTGACCTGCTATGTCACTCCACTGACCTGCTATGTCACTCCACTGACCTGCTATGTCACTCCACTGACCTGCTGTGTCACTCCACTGACCTGCTGTGTCACTCCACTGACCTGCTATGTCACTCCACTGACCTGCTGTGTCACTCCACTGACCTGCTATGTCACTCCACTGACCTGCTATGTCACTCAACTGACCTGCTGTGTCACTCCACTGACCTGCTATGTCACTCCACTGACCTGCTTGTGACCTGCAGGTTGCCCGGGGAGTCTGTGCGCCAGCGCCCAGGGGACGAGCGTCCGTGCTGGGATGGATGGAGGGGTGGAGAGAAGTGGTGAGCGAGGAGAGGGAGGGGGTGTGGGGAGGGGGGGGGGGGGGAGAGTGTGCTGGTGCAAGAGCAGTGTGGCCATAGGGGCCGTAGAGGGCCGAGACCGTAGGAGAAATGGTGGGAGTCAGCGCAATGAGTGCAGTAAATGGGTGCAATGGGGCAGGCAGAAGTCAGCTCAGAGTAACAAGTGCTGAGCTGGAGGGGGAGTGGGGAGCGAGGGAGATGGGAGTGGGAGGGAGCAGGGAAGGAGGGAATGGTCCAACGGCATGGTGGAAGGGTAGCATGAGGGGTTGGGCGGTCGGCAAGTGGGAGGCAGGCAGGCAGGCGACAAGTGGGGGTGTAGGAGACGCGGGCGCACAGCTGGGGGGCCAACCATTACGTTTCCGGCAGCGGCGCTGCTGGCGGTGGTGCAGCGGGGGGTGAGAGGCATCATCCCGTGGAGGTGCTGCGTGGTCATCCTTGCCGCGGTGATGCCCACCCATTCCAATGGAACTGCGTGCGATTGACGCGGACGAGTTGCAAGACCAGTCTCCGCAGAGCCTACCGCTGGGATAGAGACCGGGGTACGGGGAGGGGTAGGGGAGGGGTAGGGGAGGGGTAGGAGAGGGATAGGGGAGGGGTAGGGGAGGGGTAGGGGAGGGGTAGGGGAGGGGTAGGGGAGGGGTAGGAGAGGCGTAGGGGAGGGGTAGGGGAGGGGTAGGGGAGGGGGAATGAGAAGAGAAAAGGGAAGGAGAGGAGCATGGTAAACAATAATGGGTAAGGGAAAGGGAGGGGGAGCGGTCAGGGGAGGGAAAGGGGGCAAGGAACGGGGAAATGGATGGGACAAGGGAAGAATGCAGGCAGGGCAAGGGAAAATGGTTAAGGAATGGGACAAGAGTAAGGAGGAGGGGAGAAGGTACGGGAAGGGGAGGGGGTCAGGGTAAAGGGAGGGGTAAAAGGGGGGGAGAGAGGGTAAAGGAGGGGGAGGGGTAAGTGAAAGGGGTAAGTGGGGGTAATAAGAGGGTTCGAGATGGTCCTCAGGTGGTGCCTGAGCAAGCAGCATGGCTGTGCAAGGGCATGCGATGCGAGTGGGTATGACAAGCAAGCATGCACGGAGTGGATGACAAGCAAGCATGCACGGAGTGGAACTAGAGAGATCGGGCCGCATCCCTTGAACATACGTCACATGATCCATCAGTTTTTGCGGAAACCATGGCTTCCCTGTCGGTCATCGGGCCGCCACTACATCGCTAAATTCTGGGCTCCCAAAAGCTGCCTGAAACTATCTCGGAAGAGACTTTCGGGTCAGATTTCACAACCATCCCGAAAGTGTCTTTCGGGAAGTCTGTAGTGACACATCTGGGAGTCCCGAAACTGCTTCGCAAGTCTCTTTGACTCTTGCCCGAAAGACCTTTGCGGGATGTTTTCAGGACACATTCAAGACACATTTGGGAAATATCACGGACCAATCTCGTTTGAGAGTGGTTCGGAATCAGGCGGTTCGGGATTCGTTGTCCTTGACATGCGGTTCGACAATAACAACCTCATGGATCCGTTGTCCTTGACATGCGGTTCGACAATAACAACCTCGTGCATATAGAAATATACATGCTACAAAATATATATGTTTATCGAACACATACAACTATTATACATGTCAACAGTGAATAATTGCAGCTTGTTAACAAACTCTACGGGTGGCATATTCATTACATAAACAGCAGTTCCTGCAATTGACGAATCAAACAATTAGCCATCCTGAAACTTCAA